ATCTGTAGGTTTGTATCCTGCAGAACAAAGTCAAATAGCTGGAAGTTTCCATCAAAATGTTTGCCCCCTTTTAAAAGTATTTGTTAGTAGCTTGTGGTACAGAGATACAAATGTCAGCTAATGCTTCAGGATGGAAGCTGCAAGTTGTTCAAACTTTAGAGTTCAGTCTATATCTCTAAAATAACTTTATGTCTGGAAAGATTGTGTTCCTCTGTTCTTGGGTGTATGTGAAAACTTTATAAAGACTCCAGAAAGTGCTTAGTTAAGATTCTTCCTAGACCAAATATTAAGGGTCTGTGAAGCAAGTAGATGATCTCAAGTTTTAACATGCTGGTTTTCCATTTGGACTGGTCCTTGGGCTGAGCTGTTAACATTCCTCCACTGCATTCCAGGGTCAGGGCTTGTGATAATTGGGATCCCAGTAGACTGTACTGGGACCAGTATTTTACACACTGCATCGTAGCTCAGGGTTAATTATATTTGGTGCCAAAGGAACAAATGCCCAGTGTGTGGAGAAAATACAAAAATTCTTGCATTGGTCTGTTCTTGAAAGAAAGCAAGAGGGCAGAAGAGTCTATCAGATAAACTCTTGGGATTTAGTCATCTTTCTCCTTGAAGTGTATTCCTTTTCTGATCTGATTTCAGTTTAAATGTGTTCATGGACTTGGGACAAAACCAAGCCTTTATTCCGTCAAGCCCATCATTAGATGGATTTGATGATGGAGGATTGTCAACTAAGGAGTTATAGAAGATTATCAAACTAATGAAAGACTGATCGAGTGGAAAAGCCTGGCACTTAACTCTTCTGTTGTTTGTGTTGGTACAAACAAGCCCACTGGTCTGAGCAATGTGATGAAAACCTCTTCTTCCAGCATAGTTTAGGCAAGGTAGGGATTGAAGGAAGGCGTCCTTGCTCTTCACAGACACCGAAGGGCTAGAAGGTGGTTGTGCTCATCCCATGTGCCTTGGGGTACCTACCAACTGACATTAGCCTCTGGATTTCTTGTTCTGCAATGACTTTAAATTGGTATCTGGAACCACTGTTAGAAAAAAGGGTAGGGGACCTGGGTTGGAGCTGCTTTTTTCTTGTTCTTTGGCAGCTGCGGTTCGTTTTGGTCTGAGGCTTCCATTGGCAGTGTCCAAGGCCTCCCCAAACTGCTTCTGTTCATCAGAGTTATCCTGGATCAGGTGAGACTTCCATATATTACCAATTTTGCAGTTTCTATGCTTGGACAATCCAGTCCTATGGATTTTGTGTAAGACATGTTGGATTAGGTGGTTTCTGTTCTTAACTTGTACTCTGGAATATATTGGTTTAGTCAGTCAGTTCAACTTTTTATTTTTGGTTTCCTTTCTGTCTGAGTGTGAAGCCTTCCAGTCGGAAGGACTTGAAAGAGCTTGAAAGGGAGACGCAGTACTAGAAAAGCTATCTAAGCCCTTGTAGGAGTCTGATTTTAATCCTTTGAAGCTGAATATTTTTAAGATTGTCAGTATTTCTTTGATTCTCTGGATAGGGAAAAGTTCTATGGATTATCGGTAGACCTAATCAAGTTTGAACTTTGAAATGTTCAAATGCTGGTAGTCGCCTTCCTTGTTTTTAGAGAATACTCGGTCCATCGTTAATGTGATTTTAGGCAAAGAACCTTAAGAGGCGATGCTGGAAGAGAAGCAGGGCTCAGGACCAGTCTCCATTTGATTTTTTTGAGGAAAGAACTTTTATTGAAAACTTTATGCCCATCAGTGTGTCTCTTTAAATTGGCTTTTGCATTATGCTCTTAATGCCCTAAAGGAATATGGCTATGAACACATAGTAAAAGTAGAAGAAATAATGAGTATGCTCATCTTTCAGTTATTTCTGTTGTCCGTACATTTTTTTTTTCCTTCCACTAAAATGAAATAACAGATCCAGTTATACTGTAAGTAAAAATGTGGATAAAAAGAGATATTTTTATTTTGGAGAAACTGACTTAAGCTTGTGGGTTTTTTTGTTTTTGTTTTTTTTTCCTCTCTCCTGTTTGATCCGGTTCTTTTAATATGGTCCTTAAGCCAGATGTTTGTGCATGGTTGTATAAAATGCTTGTTTCTAATAGAAATTTTTACAAAGTGCACAGATGGTGAGAAGTTGCGTAGCAATATGAACAGTGTGAGCACATGGGTTCTTAAAGCTGATGTGTATAAATCCTCTAAGATCACTGTTGTGTTTTTTCTGGTTAATATGCTTTTCAGTGAATCCAGACTTGTGTCTCAGTTCAGTTGGAGGAATGTTAATGTTGCTCATTTATCTTAGTTAGTGGCAGCCCACTGAAATACATCTTTGTCTGTCAGTCTGTTCTCTGCAGTTACTATCAGATTTCCATGTAAGTTCTTCGTTGCTTGCCGTATACGTGGAGAGATTATTTGTATTTTTTTGCAGACAACCAGTAACTTCGGTATTAAATGTTAAACTGAAGAACTTAATTACCATATGAAGGAGTGGATTTCTTCTCAAATGAAATTGTAATAAACATATTATCCAGTTTTCCAATATCAACTCAAAAAAAAAAGCTGCAAATGAAACCAACTCTAGCATGTGCATCTTCAAAGATTGAGTCTTTAAATTGGTCAGCATTTTCTTTTTGAACATGTGAAGAGAATTTAGGTGGTGCACGAAAGCAGCCAGAAAGCCTGTGAAAAAAGCTTTGACTTGGAGATAATTTCCCCTCACCACTTCCTCCTGCAAACTGTTCATAAACTTGAAGCTTTGTGAAGGACGGTTCATAATCAATGTCTAACAGGACCTATTTAGAATCATCTGTTTTCAGAAGAGACCCAGTTTTAAAGGGCTTTTTCAGCAGCTTCTTTTAGTCACTTAAAATATCTGCAAGTTGGACTGGGAGTTGATGGTTCAGCCATCAACATGTGATCACAGGCTTGCAGATTGGTCTCACAGCCTTGGAAAAAATGTGATTGTACCTTGATTGAATTATTTTGACCAAATCATGATTTTTCTCAAGAATATTATCTTGCAAGCCTCATATCAAATCTGTCTTTGTGTATTCTAGGTCAAAGTTGATGTTTGTGGATGTTTTGTATCTGAAATGTCTGAATGGTTGTTACCTATTGTATCTTGAAGACTTAACACCTGCTTTTTATTATGGAAGACCTTTAATTTTTTTTGTCTCAATCTTTAATATTGCTTATTTCTTTTTGCTTGGAAATTATTGAGAAATGAGGGCCTAACCAAGGATGATGGTTGCTTTTTACCTAGTTTTGACTAAGACTTGAGATCATAGTAAGGTCTTGTTCATTCTAAAAATGAAAACATTTTTCCTTACACACCATTAGCTTTGTTTGCCTTCTGGGGAAGATATGGTGCTAATTGGTACCTCAAAGGGCTTTGCTATTTGGTGGTATTGTAAGATGCTTCTATATCAAGGAAACCTGTTTTGACAGTTCTGGTTAGATATGCATGATAGCAACTCTTTAGAGATGCTAAGAATCTCATAAGTAACTGTGAATGCAGGATTACAAAACTTCATTTCCACTTTGAGGGGCGGAAAGACACACACGAAGTGTTTCTGAATATGGGTTTGTGTCCTCTGATCCTAAGGGATTGAGTGGAGAACTTCATCAAATGTAAGGAATAGATAATTGACCCATTAGACCGTGCTCTGTGCATCCTCATCTTGAGGAATGAGCGTTAAGGCTGCAGTAGAGGCTTAAAAAAATTGGAAATGGCAAAGATGAATTGAAGAGTGATTTCCTGTTTCTTGCAATATAAGAACTGATAGGCACCTAATAAAGAAAGAAATGTTGAATGGTTATCTAATGCTTGGAATTCATTGCTGCAGAATAATTTTTATTTCAAAAAGCGATCAGGCAAAAGCAGAGTCTGTCCTGGCTGTTAAATGTAAAGTTGTTTGCAGTTTCCAGTATGTGAAAGCTGGAAACGAAAAGGTTAAGCTTTTCTAGCAGCTGGTCTAGAGACCTTTGATCAGATTCAGGATGCTCATGAAGTCATTAAGTAATCTGCATTTCCAGTGTTCAATGTTATCAGCAAAAGCAACAAGGCTGCTAAGCAAGATCACTGTTATCATTGTTTTTTGTAAACTTTATTTTTTCCTAACAAAGGTCTGGGTTATGTTGAAGGAAATCAGCCTAAACTATTTTCAATCTCTTTTTAAAAGTTTTATTATTATTATTATTACTATTTTCAAAGCTTTTACTAAAACTGTACTGTGTTCTGCTTGTAGGTGCTAAAAGTGGATGGTGCTTATGTTGCTGTGAAATTTCCGGGCACCTCCAGTAACGCAAGCTGTCAGAGCAGTTCTAATTCGGATCCTGATCCTTCCTCTCTTCTCCAAGATTGTAGACTGCTCAGAATAGATGAACTACAGGTATGTTTTGGAATTCTTGAGAAAACAAGTCATGTTTGCAGTGTTAGTACTATGTACAAACTGACTCTTAACATTTCACATATGTTTTTAGGTAGTAAAAACTGGTGGAACTCCAAAAGTTCCTGACTGTTTTCAGAGGACACCTAAAAAGTTGTGTATTCCTGAAAAAACAGAGATTCTAGCAGTAAATGTAGATTCAAAAGGTAAGTAGAACTTTACCTTTCAGATGTTCCTTTGTGTTCTTTATTACCTTCTTTATTACCTTCCTCCCTCCGTACAGTGGAAAACTACAGGTGTCAAACTAACATAAATTATTGTTTTCACTGATATTAATAAATCCTTAAAGGTGCAATAGTTAGGAGTTCTTTTACTGAATGCCATCAGCAAAGGGATTAACCTTTCTCTTCATGTATTTTTGAAGGCGTGCATGCTGTCCTGAAAACTGGGAACTGGGTTCGATACTGTATATTTGACCTTGCCACAGGAAAGGCTGAACAGGAAAATAATTTCCCTACTAGCAGCATTGCGTTCCTGGGTCAGAATGAGAGAAGTGTTGCCATTTTTACAGCTGGACAGGTTTGTTTTGCATCTCAGTCATTTAACCTCACTGTGTTTCACTTCCTTCGTCTTCAAACGGCATGGTACAGCTTTTGGGAAGCTTTTCCAAAGACTGGCAAAAATAAAACGGGTTGTGAAAGACTCGCTGCTACCATTGATATTTGGAAGAGGGGGTGGGGAATCACAGAGTCACAGACTGATTGAGGTTGGAAGGGGGTCACCTACTCCAGCCCTCCTTCTGAAGCAGGCTCAGCTAGAGCGACTTCCCCCGGGCTAAGTCTAGACAGGTTTTGAGTATCTCCAAGATGGAGACTCTCTACCCGCTCTGGGCAGCCTGCTGCAGTGGTCAGTCACCCTGACAGTATGGAAGCTGTTCCTCATTTTGGATGTTAACTTACTGTGTTTCAGTTTTTCCCCTTTGCCTCTTGCCCTGTCACTGGGCTCCATGAGAGGAGTCTGGGTATATCTTCTTTACAGTCCCCCTTCAGATATTATACGCGTGGATAAGATCTGCCTCGGGCCTTCCCAGCCCTCAGCCTTTCCTCACGTGAGGGCCGCTCCAGTCGGTCACCGCTGGGGCCCTCCCCTGGTCTCGCTCCATGTCTCCCTTGTGCTGTGGAGCCCAGCACCAGCCCCAGTGCTCCAGGTGCGGCCTGAGGGGCAGGATCGCCGCCCTCCAGCAACGCTCCTCCCCAGGCAGCGCCACGCACCTCTGGCCGCCATTGCTGCCAGGGCGCAGGGGAGCTGCAGCATAACTCAATTAAACACTTTGAATAATGTTATTAAAAGATCTTGGTCCTTGAATAGAAGGTTCAAAGAGAAGCTGGAGTAGTTACTGTGTTACTGTAAATCCGCTATCTAACTTTTGGTTTCAGAAGAGAGTGGATATTCATCTGACCCGCTTAAAAACAAATGAAATTGTTCCCCCCAAATCTGCATTTCATACTAAAAATAATACTGTGTTTTTGTGCAGTTCTTTTTACTGTCTGGTCTTAAACATCCTATTTTATCTGATTGCAGAGCTGATTTCACAGTGCAGGCGTAGTTGAGGAGAGTTTAGAATAAAAGAACTCATTTATATATTCAGGTTTCTGTTGCTGCACTTCAGTAAGCTAAGCATAGGTACCTTATGTTTCATTACTGGTA